AGGAATGCAAAATAAAGTACAGTGAAGATCAAGTAAAAAGGAGAACAGAAATTCAAAGGATGAGAAAATCAATTTTGAAATTTGAAACGCAAGTGTCCAAGTCAGAATTCCTCAGCTCATTACCTGTGTGACCCCTGCCAATTTGTTTCACTTCTGTAAGCATTATTTTCTGATCCTAAAAGGACTATGAACCTTCCCGTACTGCTAGATTGCTATAAAAATTAAGTAAAAATGTATGCGAACTTGTCACATAGTTTTGAACATAGTAAATCCTGAAGTATTCTACTTGACCAGTTTTATTATTTGCTTTCATTGTGATAATAGGCACTAAAACTGGACTATCAGTGAAGGTCAAGTTGTTACCATTGACTTCATTATTGAGAAAAGAAACAAAATAATTGATATGTAGTGGTTAGTATTCACTTTTGGTAAATTACAACTCAATTTTCCTTTGCCCCAGTAATTTCCTAAGAATGAAGAAAGCATTAATGCATAAGAAAACATTTGTGGAAATTTTTTGACAACCACTGTGCTAAAACATAAAGCTTTCAGATGAACTGACCAAAGAAACAGAGTTGACATACTCCATTCCAGAAAAATATCATTTCTCAAGAATATATCAGTGAGTTCCGGGAGAACATGGCGGACAGATAACAGCAACTACCGGAGGCTCTCTGAAAGACTCGGCTCAGAAGCCAGGAATGGGGCGGACTAAGGAGACATAAGCAGGTGGAGATATGCTCTGCTGACTCAGGAACGAACTGGGCTGAGAGAAACCAACTTGGAATGCAGTCCTGGTGCTAAAACAGGAACAGAAAAGCCTCGGTGTGGAGCTGGACCCCGCGCCACTGTAAGCCGCTATTTGGGTTTCCCGCCGCGCGGCGGCTGGCTGCCTTTACAGTGGCTCAGCAAGGAGAGAGACACGCAGAAGCTCTGAGAACAGCAATCTGCGAACGGCAGGGAGGCGTGCACTGACTTGTGGTGAGGTGAGTGAGAGAAACTGACACTCTACCACAGTTTGACTCCAGCGGAGGACTTTCTGGGCCCGAGCAGTCCTGCGGGAGCAGGGCGTGGTGGCGACTCCAGCCACACATCCCCCTCTTGGGCGGGATTGGTGAAAAGTGCCTGGCCTGCGTGACGCTGCCGGCGGACCTGGTAGGCTGTCCCAACCCAGATCCCAGAGCCTGACGGTGGCCCAGAGGGGCGACTCCCGCGTAGGCTGCCTGGTCCGTAACTCCCTGGTGCGCAGCGGTGAGCGGGAACACCTAACTGGCGCAATTCGATCAGGCTGTGGCTGACTGGGAGAGAAGCTGGGCCTCTTATATAAGCTTGCATATATAAGGAACAGAGAAGAAGAGGCAGCATGGGAAGAGGCAGCAACAAGAAAGGCTCCTCGGCCCCCAATTCTGAGAAACAGGCAATAGCAGACACCGCACCAATATACATAAGGCACCATATAGAGAGACTCATAGACCAATTCAGGAATGAAGTTATCAACGACCTGAAGCTAGAAGTATGCAGAATAGTTAGAGAAATGCTAAGTACCACCCAAGAAAAAACAGGCGGTGGAATGGAAGAACAGAAAAAAAGGGGAGAATTGTTTGATGGAGAAAACAGAGAAACCATAGAATACGTGAAGCAGGTTCAAAGGGACTACCAAGGTACCAAGAAGTCTATAGAAGACTGGCATAACAGCTTGAAAGAAACTAAGGACAGACTATCTGAACTGGAGGGCAGACTTGTAATATGGGAGAATGAAATGAAAAACTTCTTAAAAATAACAAAGAAACAAACAGCAATAATACAAAGACAAGAAGATGATAAGAGGATCCATAACTTAAGGATTAAGAACATAAAAGAAGAAGTAGGGACACAAACAAGTGAACTACAAAAGCTACTCACAGAAATAATCCAGGAGAATTTTCCTAATTTAGCAAAAGGTAAAGATACTCAGATGTATGAGGCATACAGGACCCCAGCTACCTACAACCCAAACAGACCAACACCCAGGCATATAATAATAAAAATTCCAGAAATTCAATACAAGAACAGAATATTAAAAGCTGTCAGAGACAAGAAACAGACCACTTACAAGGGAACACCCATCAGAATTACAGCAGATTTCTCGGCACAAACCATCAAATCACGAAGAGCATGGGGGGAAATAATTCAAGCTTTGAAAGATAATAATCTCCAGCCAAGATTGAGATATCCTGCACAACTGTCCCTGGAAATTGATGGAAAAACAAGGTGCTTCCAGGATAAAGAGGAACTGGGGGAATTTGCAACCACCAATTCAACTCTACAGAGAGTATTGCAGGATATTCTAAAAAAAGAAAAATACAAAGAATCCAGAAATAATGGCAGAGAGGCCACAACGAATGGAGCAGAGAACAAAATGAAGAAGACAAACTGACAGCTACTGACAGAAAAAGAGCTCAACAGAAATGAGGCAGAGAAGATTGGATGATAGGAATAGCTATTTTGGAGAAAATGACATCTTAATAGGTAATACTGATTTAGTATCATCTTGTTTTGAAGTCTCATCTAGCTTTTGTCCTTCTGTCTCCAATGGTCTAAATAGGTTGTATCTTACTGGATTTTATTATGTACGATAGTATAAGCAAAAACCTTGTAAAGACAAGGAGATTATACAGAAACCATTATTCATTTTCTGTTAGTCAATTCTAAATACTCTGTAATGCTGTCATTCTCTTGAATGGTTTTACATCATTTTGATATACTTAATGCTACAGTATACGAAGTTGTACTCAAGGATTTCAAAAAAAGACAATATAGTAACTACTTTTAGGTTAGAATTATCTGGTGGTGAAACACTATTCTGCTTAAATGGTTATGTTTTGATCTGCGCTGTTTCGTTGTTATGCCCTCTTTTATCTCAATCTCCACTCCATTATTTACTTTTTTATCTTTATCCTTTTAATTAAAGGAAAAAAATAGCAGGATATATTATAGTAACCCACTTTGACTTTTCATTACTTTGATTTAAAGCCCTGTATTACTCTCACCATCTGGTTTTTAACTGATGTTCCCCTATTCTGTTTTGCTGGATAGTATCAGGTTCGAAAGTTTAGGCATCAGCTGTGAAGATAATGAGATTCATTATGACGCCCATTCTTGTTGACTTTTATCTACTTTTGAAGACCTACAATGTCTCAAATGTTTTGGTTTTGTTGGTTTTATTCTTTACTGTTTTGTTCAATTGTATTATAACTAACGATATAGGCAATTCTATTAGAGATAGCGGGAGGCATTATAGTAACCATTGTTGATCACCTTGTATTATGTTTTTACATTATCTATTATGTCCACCCTTTTGACTTGACCGATTCTGTTCTGTTATGTCACATTTGGTTTTACTCTCTTCCAAAAAAGTAATAAGAACCGTGGGAGCAATGAAACCCAAAATGTGTAATAGTCATGGTACAAAAGAGAGGAAAAGAAAGTGCTCCAAACTATATAACTGCATGTATATTTAAGTGTATAAGATAGAAAATGATATCACAGAGTTTTATTGGATCAATGAACACAACTGTTTGCAGTATCGTTGATGGAATGTCCACTTTACAAGCTTTAATTTTGTGACTTGAACAATTATTTCTAAGATGACAATATGTAATCCATTAACTAGTGATTTCCTACTGTTCATTTTTTTTCTGTAAATCTGTATAACTTGTACCCTTTCCCTGCTTTTTTTTTCCTTTTCTCCTTAAATAAAATTAAAAAAAAAAAAAAAAAAAAAAAAGAATATATCAGTGAATGATACAAAGTAGGCCAAATCTAATTGTGAAAACTCAACCTCATTTCTCTGATTTTTCCTCTCAGTCTACTTTTCTTGACATAGAATGTCAGGTGTAGACTTGGTCAGGACCTAAATAGTTAAGCTTTATTTTAACAAGTGCCATAAGTTTTCATCCTCATGCATCTGGAGTAAAATATCATGAAGGCCAAGAAAAAAAGGGATAGTGGTAATAGTTCTGAGAGTCAAAACCCTCTACGGAATGAGCATATTCTAATTTACTTTTTACTTTTTAATTTGTATTAGTACATGTTTGTAGTACATGGTTATATTCACTGTAGGGAACTAGTACATGTACATAACACATCTCATTTCCTTTTTTCCCCTTTCCTTCACTCCCCTTTTATTTTGCCAGTATCAGATTCGTTTATTTATTTATTGTCTTTTTGAGACAGAGTCTCTATGCAGTTCAGACTGGCCCTGTGAGCTCACTGTGTAGCCTAGGCTGGTCTCAAACTCGGAACCATCCTCCTGCCTCAGCCTCCTAAGTGCTGGGATTACAGGTTTATGCCACCACGCCCAGCTTCATTTATTTATCTTTTTTTTTTTTGAGACATTACAGGACTTTATTTTTTTTTTAATTTTATTTAAAAGGAAAAATAGAAAAAACAAAACAAAACAAAGCAGTGTAAGGGTACAAGTAATACAGAACTACAAAAAAAAAAGTAAGAAATCTTAAAAGCCCCTAATTTCCGGCTGAGGATTTAGTTCAGCAGTCATAAGCACCTGCCTGGCTAGCATGCGGTCCTGAGTTTGATTCCCAGTAATTTCTTAGCGTCCATTTTGTAAGTATGGTGAGTGGTCCCTTTAACAAGTAGAGTACTTGTTACGTAAACACGCAAGTGCATAGGCACGTAGGCACGTTGCTTTAATCTCAGGATTCTCGCGAGAATTAAAGATTCCTAGCAGGCAGACTCATTTTTTGAAATGGGGGTGGTTGATAGAGGAAAGGAGATCAAGGATGCTGATGTGGATGGAAGTGAACAGTAGAAGTACCTACTGAAGAAACATAAGAACGTTGGGCTTCTCTCAGCCTCTTCCACCTGTTAACCACTGGGGATCAGTGGTATTTTATTATGATTTTCCCAAACTGTCACCCCCTTCCTTGGTTGCTACCAACATACTGGTAACTAGCATAAAGGCAGGCTCTCTTCAAACCACAAACTGCTGTGGAGGAACCATCATGGCTTACCCTCAGCTCGCTGTGAGAGTGTCCGTCATGAACGGAGAAGGCCTATGGGAATGCATAGGCACAGGGCAAGTCTCAACCATCTACATTGAGCGGCTGGAGAGCGTGTGCCTACTTGTTCAGTCAGAGATGGATGGCTCGGTTATGTTGGAGTCCAAGATAGAGCCCGAAACACTCTATCGGAAAAAGCAAGGTACGATAATTGTGTGGTCTGAAGCCGAGAATTTTCGCATAGCGCTCACTTTTCAGGACCCGGAAGGCTGTCAGGAGATCTGGGAAGAAATATGTCAAGCTCAAGGTAAAGATCCAACTGCGGAAGACACACGAGACATTTTAGATGAAAGTGAACAATATGATGACATGTTAGAAACTGTTGAACCTTTTGAGCCACCTATCTGTGAACTCAGTACAATAACTCACCTTGCTAATTTCTTTAACTCATTTTTTGTTTCACCTACCCGTAAGGAAAGGCTGGCTCTCATCTTGGAAAGTGGGAGTTATATTAAAAAACTACTGCAGCTTTTCCAAATTTGTGAGAGCCTAGACAATACTGAAGGGTTACACCATTTGCACAACATTGTTAAAGGTATCTTATTCCTCGATAAAACTCCTCTGTTTGAGATTATGTTTTCTGATGAGTGTATTATGGATGTGGTAGGATGCCTTGAGAATGACCCTGCTTTGCCTCAACCAAAAAAACACAGAGAATTCATGGCCCAAAGTGTAAAATTCAAGGAAATTATACCAATAGCAAACTCTGAACTTAGGCAAAAGATACATCAGACATACAGAATACAGTACATTCATGATATTCTATTGCCTACACCATCCATATTTGAGGACAATCTTCTTCCATCTCTTACTAACTTTATTTTGTTCAACAAGATTGAGATAGTCAACATGCTACAGGAAGATGATGTATATTTGTCTGAAGTTTTTGCACGGTTAAAGGATAACAACACAGATGATGAAAAAAAGTGTGAACTTTTACTACTTTTCAAGGAATTCTGTGAATTTTCCCAGACATTATATCCTCAAAGCAAAGATGAACTACTCAAAAGGTTGGTAAACCGAGGAGTTCTTTGTGCTCTTAAAATTCTTATGCGCATGGATAATTTCCAAATAAAGACAATTGCTACAACTATATTTGCTTATCTAGTGGAGTACAGTCCATGTGTAATCCGACAATTTGCAATGAATGAAGCTCATGAGGATAAAGATGATGAACTTCTGATTAATATAGTAATTGAGCAAATGATCTGTGATACAGATCCTGAACTTGCAGGTGCTGTGAATTTAGTGGAACCTCTTCGTTCTTTGCTTGACACAGAGACCATGCTGGTATCAGTTTACGAATTTGAAAGAATTAAATTTCTAAATTTCTTCTATAAATATTGCATAAATAACTTGGCAGCACCACTTTTATCCAGCACTGCAAAAGAGTTGGATGATGGACTTGACGGAAACAAAAGTTGCCCCAATAATTATCAAACAGCACAATTGCTTGGTTTAATTTTAGAACTATGCACCTTTTGTGTACAGCATCACACATATTACATAAAAAACTATATTTTGAATAAAGACTTGCTAAGAAGAGTCTTGATGTTGATGAAGTCAAAGCATACCTTCCTGATCCTGTGTGCTGTTCGTTTTATGAGAGAGATACTTCGTGTTAAAGATGAACAATATAATAATTACATAATCCAGGGAAATCTTTTTGAGCCAGTTGTAAATGCCTTTTTGGCTAATGGAGCTCGCTACAACATACTAAATTCGGCTATTCTTGACCTATTTGAATATATAAGTGTGCAAAATGTCAAGTGTCTTGTTGCACATGTAGTTGAAAAGTTTTATAAGTCTTTTGAATCAATTGAATATGTTCAGACATTCAAAAACTTGAAGATTAAATACGAACAGGAAAAAGACAGACTAAATCGGGCAGAGGCTTTACATTCTGCACTATATGGAGATAGCAAAGCCATGGAGGTGGAAAAAAAAAAGTGTTTTTTCAGAAATATAAGTGAAGTTGTTATGCCACCAATGGAAAACATTCCAGAAGGTGATGAAAACTTTATGGAGGCTAAAAGCACAAAAGAAAATGAAGACAATACAGACTTTGCCAAAAGAACATCTTCTGGTGTCTTCCTGTTTTCTTCATTTTTTTCTGATGGTGCTGGTGATGGAATGAGTAGTTCGCATAGTAACAGTGTGGCTAGTATAGTGGATTATCCTGATGATAACAATAAGGAAGAAGACGAAGAAAAAACATCTCCCAGCAAAAAACCGCATTTTAGCTCATAATATGACTATGACAGACCCTCTGCTTTTGGTTCAGCTCAAATCTTGTCAATGTTAATAAGCCAAAAAGTCTGAATGTAAATTATTTCTCATATGAAGTTTTGAAAATGTACAATGAGTACCAAATATAAAATAAGAGGGTTTAATTCTGAAAAAAATTTCCATAATACACACTTACAATGCGAACATTTATCAGCTTCTGAGTTATTACTTCTTAGGATTTCTTAGTTTAAAGGATGCTTTAGAAGGAGGAAATAGTCTGTAAAAATAATACAGGTTTGACCCAAGGGTATATTCAAAACAACTGTAAAAGTTCATTTGGAAAGTATACAGCATTAATTGCATAACAGTCTAGCCATAATATACTTCCTTCTGTTATCTTTTTCATTAGTGCATGCTTGTAGTACATGATGTTTACATTTCTTGTGGGGTGTGGATAATGAAGTCGTCTATAAAATATAAAGTTAGGTATTTTGGGCATTCCTGTCAAGATACAGCCAAAAAACATCAACCTTATGAATCATTCAAGAGAAGCAAAATTTATTATATATACTCACAGACAAAAACAGATGTGAGCCCAAAGTGTGTACTTGTTAACAAAACACTTTTGAAAAATCTGTTCAGTACAATTCCCAAAGGATTTTCTCTGGGCCCACTAGACTGAGTAGACAAGGTGCTTTCAATAGCCTGTGTTGTGAAAGTTAAATCCTGATTCATTGTGAAGCTTGCCCTTCTTTCCAGAGCAGCAAATATGTTTCAGAGTATTCAGTAATTTATAATTACTGATATTAAATAGTGCTGAATGAAACATCTAGAAACTAGTTTGGACCAAGAAAAATTTAATTAAAATATAAAAGTCAGCATGCAGTGTGTAGTTTTACTATAAACAAAGGTACAAATGAAAGATGTGCTATCTTCAAGTGTACGTGCAAATGAATTTCTGAAAATAGATTCCAGAAAAACAGTTCAGAAGTTTATTTTTAGAGGAGCAAGTAAACTGGGCTGACTTTTCTTGAATGATTTAAATTGAAAAACTTTTTTTCCTATTTTGGATATTTTAGAGTTAATGTAGGCCATTAGATTCTCGGTGTAGACAGAAGTTTTCTGTATGACAGATATTTATTTTGTATTTAAAAATACCACCATATTTGTCATGATACTATTTCTTGAATGTTCGTTTTCTAAGAGGCTGTTTTGTAAAACTTAGAAAAATTATATTCTTAAAACAACAAAGAATAATTTCATCAGATATTGAAGTCTACTAAAGTACTGATACGACCTCAGGAGATACAATTATATGTTGAAGAGGACACAACACATCGAAGAAACTGCACAGTCATACTTCTGAAGTAATGCTTGTTAAATTTGGTAATGGGATTATTCATGTAATGATTGTATGTCAGAGTTGTTTCTTAGAAAATGTTTTGTTACCTTTCTTGCTAGACTGCCATGGGAACAGTTATTCATAATGCATGCATTCATACAGTTTTGTTTTGAGAAAAATATATTGAAATCTTTATTTTGGTGGATATTTCTCCAGTTCTTCAGCTGCATAGCTATTTACAACTAGACTAAGAGAAAGTTTTGTTTTGATATTAATTCTTAAGTGTTCTTTTCCTATTTGCCATAAAGTTGGACAGTATTCAGGGAAGTAAAAGAACATGTACATTTATTTCTGCGTTTTCCCAAAAGAGTATGTAAGGAAAGATTAAAAACAGACATAAGTCGAATGTAAAGAGAATGTGAAAAAAAAAGAAAGCAAACAAAACAAGTAAGTGTTGTATTTAGCTCTGTAACCTCTGTGAGCCCTTTTCGAGTTTCAGCTACTTGATGTTAGGGGAATCAGCATGACAAGTGAAATAGTGAAAAGGCAAATTGCCTGTCATATGGCCTAACCTGTTATTAAGGGAACATTTAAGAGGGCAACAAATCATAGAAGAGCAACCTTTATTGTATATGTACTGAGAGAAAAATTGACCGAAATGTTCATTGTTCTAGCTCTAGTGTGTGGAAAGAAGATACCATATCAAGAATGTTTAATTTGTTTTTTAAGTTTTTTTTTATAAATAATAAGACCCATAAGTAGGTTAATAATATTAGACAAGTATCTTGAACAACTATTTGTAAAAGGACAATATGTAAACATTAACTAGTGATTTCTTACTGTTTATTTTTTCTCTGAATGTATATTATTTCTACTCATTTTCTGTATTGTTTAGTCTTCCTTTAAATAAAATTTAAAAAATAAATAGTATTAGGTAAAGAAGAAACAATTGGAAATTGCCCTGTATTTGCAATAAAATCCAGACATTTTTGACAAAATGCCCTGTTTCATAAAGTTTTTAGCTTTAAACACATAACTGTTAGTAATGTTAAGGGTAAGAGCCTTTCCGATCATACCAAAGATGGGGTGGTAATATAAAAGATTAATCTTTGTATTCAGAAATACCTTGATGATGATGGAAAACGTGATGCAGTTCTGTGACTATTTCTCTAACATTTTCTATGACCATTATTTTCTCCACAGTTTTGCATCTCATCATAAAAAATTAGACATTCTTTATAAATTACCCAGAACATATTTAGTACTCAGGAAGTAGCTTTGAAAATGCATTATCAAGCTGGGAGTGCTGACACAAGCGTATAATCTCAGCAGTCTGGGAGGGTGAAGCAGTTTGATCATGAATTCAATCCCAGTTTGAGCAAATCTTGTGACTGAGACCGCATCTCAAAAGAAGATTTTTTTAAAAAGGCTATAGATGTAGCACAGTGCTAAGGCCCTGGGTTCAATTCCCAGTACTACAAAGTGTACAAACAAAAAAAGCAAAACCATCATCAGCATTATAATTTTTCCTCAGAATATAAGGGCCAAATATAGCTATACCCACTTATATTACTAGTTGTGCTTATAAATTTGGAATAATCTGAGTCAAAATGACAGCAATAAATTAAAAAGTTTTGATTGACAAAGCCTAAGTGTGTACACTTTGTCCTGCTGAGAAGCAACTGAAGTTTAAAAAAAAAGACTCCATAGAAGACTCTTGGATGGCCTAATATCTAGCAATTTAACCAAGAAAAGAAAGAAAAGTAGAAAGGGAGGTAGAGAGAAATCGAAGATTCCCACAAGTGACAAATCATAAGGCTTGTTTCCTCCTTGACTCTTCCCAGAAGGTAGAGCAGTGTACTAGAACGTGTCCCTAGATAACAGATCAAGTGTGCTTTCCCTGAAGCAATTGAAATTACAGACAAAGCTAAGACCTTTTGTAGACATTGTTACCTCAGAGTTAAATCTTTTGCTTTAGAATTGCTGCAACTTGAAAAAGCTATGTGTTAAAGTTTTGGTCTCCAGCTAGCACTATTGGTAGGTGGTGGAAACTAAGAGATGAAGCATAATTGGAGATTTTTAGGTTATGGGGAACATGCCCTTGAAGGGGATAGTGTGGGACACTAGTTTCTTCTTGTCACTGGCTTTCTGGCTCTCAGATGACAAATTTTGCTTCACCATGTGCTCCCGTCATAATAGGTTGCTTTACCACAGGTCTAAAAGGTACGAGTCCAAGCAATCACGGACTGGGTCATCTGACAGTGTGCTCCAAAGTAAAGCTTTTATCTTTATAAGTTGATTGTCTCAAGAATCTCTCAGAATAATGTGAAGCTACCACAAAGATGTTGATTAATCTAAAATGCTGAAAGTTTATTAACCCTAATGTAAAATTCAAAGTATTTGGGGAAGAAAGACATGTTAATGCCTGGTTCGCATGCAAAAAGTACAACCCCAACCATACACATGGTACCCCTGAAAGTCTTCACAATGGGTCACATCTCTGCTGAGAGATGTATTTACATAGTCCAGGGAATAAGGTTGAAAATGCTAGCAGGTTAGCCTTCAAGTTCATATTTTAGTTAAAATAAGGGCGCCTCATCCTTATTTTGGAGAGTCTGCTAAAGAGTATTCAGTCCAAGCCACTTGTTTGTCTTGGAGAGCATGACATTAGCATACTCCATGGAATGACTAAGAGTGAGGCTGGAGACAACATCCAAGGTTGTGTGACACACATGTACCTGAGAGTGAAGAGGTGAAGGCGTAGTGTTGTGTGTGTGTAATAGTTGGAGAGTTGGAGTTATCATCATCTGCTACCACTTCTGATCGAGCTCTTCATGAAGGAGAATCAGAGCTATCTTACCTGCTGGCAGAACCAACAGTCCCTTACAATTGTAAGTACTTGTAACATTTTTTCGGAGGCCTGCACCAGAGCTGTTTTCTTTGGGTGGGAAGGTTTCTGAGGCAGTTCTGATACACAAAATTCTGTAATGCTCCCCCTTCCTCTGCCATGCTAGGTACAGGTTTATTGCTCCAAATATGTAATACCTGAGCATTCCTTTCAAGTCAATATAACCTTGATTTTTATTTTGTCTATCAAACTGTACACATCCAAACTTCTTATACAAAATAGGATACTAAGTTTTAGTATTCTGTCTGTGATTTTACCAGACTGCTGCCCACAGGATACACAAATCAGGTTGATATTTGAAAGAAATCTGCATCATGCTTAGGAATAGTCAGGACACGATCCTAAATTTTCAAAACAAGTTCATGTATTTCCTTATTCCTTTAGTCCCAAACACTAGCTGGGGAATGTCTAAGAGGTAGTGATCCTATTCTGGGCACTGCCAAATTCATTGAGCAAACTATATTATCAGCTTTGTCATTTGATTATCATACTGGCCCAAATAACTGTCTGTGATCCGGGGTATATTTTACATTTTATGATATTGAGCAACACTTGAAACCCATACTTATTAGACCCCAGGAGCACAAGCTTAGTTATGACTATCAACAATGTATCCAAGCTGGGAGTAATGGCACACCCTTGTAATCCTAGCAGTTGGAAGGCTGAAGCAGGAGGATCACTGAGTTCAAGGCCAGCCTGACCTGCATAGAGAGACAAGATCTTCCTGTGTCAAAATTGTACCCAGAATACTTTATGTATCTCTTGAGGGGA